AACAGGAAAGTATCCAGGTGGGTTTTCAGTATCTGCTGAGAAGGAGATTCCAAAATCTCTCTGGTCAGCTGATTCCAGTGCTCTGCTCTTTCACACTCAAAGTAAAGAAGTTCTTTCCTATGTTCAGATGAAGATTCCTTTGTACAAGTTGGTGCCTGTTCCCATGCTGGGCAACACTTAAACAATCCTGGCCCATCCTCTTGACACCTTCCCTTTCGATATTTATAAGCATTGATCTGATCCCCTCTTCAACTCCTCCATGCTAAACAACCCCAGGAATCTCAGCCTTACATCCAAAGGAAGATGCTTATGCACACATGGAAAAGAACAAAGGGTTAAAATATTGTCTTGACTTTATCCAGGCATAATGTGGAAAGGCTGGCCAGATGCAACAAGGCTGCTGTCTCTCTCTCAGTGAAAAATCCATCTCAGCTAAGCCCCACTCAGGCATGATCAGAAAAGGACATGGGAGAAGGGCTTTAGACACACATGGTTGCCAGGAAGTAATAGGTGAGAGATGTTGATTAGAGGGTGAAGGAATCAAGCTGCATTTAATGGTGACCCTGCACTGCCCCAGGCCCAGGCATAGCCTTCATGGAAGTGACAATTTTCTGTGGTGCTTGTGATGAATGGAAAACAGCCAATGGCATGAGCTGTGTGGCTGCTTCCCTTCATGCTGCTTGTTCATTTCCTGGCTTATGCCACATCCATTCTCTCATGCAGGCTTCTTCTGAGTGCTGGAATTGAGGGACCCTAGGACTTCTGGGCCAGGAATGAGTCAGTGATGGCAGAAGACTCAGCTCAAGTGTTCAGAGGGATCCATCTCAGGCAAATGATGCTGGCCTGGAGCTAACCTGCATACAGATCTGCCATGTCTTCCTCTTTTTCTTTGTCCCAACCCGTTCCAGTGATCTTGTGTTCATATTCCAAGGCAGGTGGCATGGACTTCTGGTTTCAATTCTTTTCCTCATCCCACTGCCTTATGCTGAAATTGCATGACCTCCTTGGAATTCCTCCTACTGGGCTGTCCCTGCACATCTGCAAACGGTGCTGTCAGCTCATCTGGAGCCTTGTCCTGCTCAGAACACTGCAGCCTTGCCCTGCCAGAAAACTCCCCCAGTGTCTCCTAAGTCAGTTCCAAATGGCCTCAGCCCCTGACTCTCCAGCTGTGTGTGCATGAGCATGGGTAATGAGTGTACGTATGTTCCTGAAGTATTTGTGAGCTTCTGTTTCTGTGCGTGCACTGTTTGCCTGTGCTTTTGTGAGCACACTGATGTAGTCTTTATTCTCATGGACTGTTTGTCAGAGGATGCAGCAATTGGGAGAGAATGGAATACCTAAATAGACATGTAGGAAGAAGGTCATAACACTGCATATGAGGCCAATGGCAACAAAACAGCAGTGACCCAGAAAATGTAGTGCCACCGCAAAGGAAAGCAGGAGATCTGTGACCAAATTGATTCTTCTGGGCTTAAACAGACCATCCCACGTAGCACATGGTCCTGTTTGTCATTGTTTCCCATGCCTCTCCTAATATTGATGGGAATGGCCTCTCCTCCATCAGTGTGGGAAGAGAAATGCACCTGAGTATCCAGTCTGTATCTTCCTCTAGCAAGTTCATCTTCATGGAAGAATGGTATACCATTGTTCCCAAAAGTGGAAAATTTCTCTGTCATCAGGAGAATTATTAGTGTTTCCAGGTGAAAAGCACAGTCATAGAATCATAGAATCATAGAATCGTAGAATGGCCTGGGTTGAAAAAGACCATAATGGTCATGCAGCTTCAACCCCCTGCTATGTGCAGGGTTGCCAGCCACTAGACCAGGCTGCCCAGAGCCACATCCAGCCTGGCCTTGAATGCCTCCAGGGATGGGGTATCCACAACCTCCTTGGGCAACCAGTTCCAGTACATCACCACCCTCTGCGTGTAAAAGCTCCTCCTAATATCTAACCTAAACCTCCCCTGTCTCAGTTTTAAACCAGTCCCCCTTGTCCTATCACTATGCACCCTCGTAAACAGCCATCCCTCTCCTGTTTATATGCTCCCTTCAAGTATTCGAAGACCACAATGACGTCTCCCAGGAGCCTTCTCTTTTCCAAGCTAAACAAGCCCAGTTCCCTCAACCTTTCCTTATAGCAGAGGTGCTCCAGCCCTCTGATCATCTTAGCGGCCCTCCTCTGGACACACACAAAGAGCTTCACGTCCTTCCTGTGCTGGGGACCCCAGGCGTGGACACAGTACTGCAGATGGGGCCTCATGAGAGCTAAGTCAAGGGGGATTATCACCTCCCTCTCCCTGCTGGCCACCCCGGGTCATCCGGGAATTTCTGAATGTCATCTTCTCAGTTCTGCTCTTTGATTTATGTATACAGTATATTGCGTAATGCCAGGAATATCATTCTCCCTTTCTCCGTGGTGCTGGGTCTGCTCGGAGCCTGGGCTTTGGGAAAGGAGATGATCTGTAGATGTTGTGCATTTTTTAACAAAAAAGGACCAGGAGTGGCCTGGCTGAAGGTATGACTGCAGGTTTCTAGGTGGAAAGCAGCAGGAAAGGCAAGGCACAGGGAACCTGTGGATTCTCTCATGTTGGGAACAAGTGGGCCAAGCAAGACATTGTGCTGATGAATGTTATGGTTGGGATACCCTCATACGCAACACTGTCCAACTCCAGCCCTGCCATCATCTCCCAAATACAACCTCACCAAATACCTCCCAGCAGCAGCCCTTCTGCACTGTTGAGGCTTGTCTGAAGTGCAGAAGATCTGATCTGGTGCACATAGCCTGTGGAATGCAGGGGAACTCCAGTATCAGTTTACATCTCCCCACAGGGAGAAATACACACTTGCCATGCTTTGAAAATTTTTCCCTCAAAAAGCATGCCTAGACAAAATGCTTTGGCAGTTGCCAGATTTAATCTTTCCTTTGGATACATTACATGTACTTGTTTCTCTTATCCTGAGACAATTACTGCTATGTCCAGTTACATTTCTGCCACTGTTGTTGGATTTAGTAGAAGCCACCCTTCTTCCACAGAAGCAGGGAAGAACTCACTAAAGGATGCAACAAATGTTTAATGAGTCTGAAGACAGAAATAAAATTACATCAAGAGTGGATAATGAGTATGGGGAGCAGCAGGAACAGACAAGAATAATTCCTACAGCAGCGTTGCCACAGGGCCCTCACTTTGAGGCTAAGAATTGTAGAGAGGCAAGCAGGTCACTTGAAGCTGGTGTTGAAGGGTACTAACAGAGATCTCTGAGGAGAAAAGACAACTCTGATATTTTCTAAGAAACTCCTCTTGAATGCAAAACATTGCAGATATAGACAGCATGTTGTTTTCCCATGCTGCTCAATTTCTTTTCAGGTTTTATGCTATCTTCAGTCCTTGCTGAAGGCACCCTCTGAGTGACTGAAAGAGAGACTCAAGCATTTACAGGCAATACATATCTACTCTTGTGCTGGAAAAGACCTACAAAGGGAAATGGCATCGTGCTGAGTCACTCCTTAAGGGCTCCTTGGGGCCATTATGGCAAGAAGTTGTCCAGCTCCTGAGTGTGACCCTATCCCACCTCACAATACTCTCAGGAAAATTCTGCTGGAATCTTTTGCGTTCTTCTGTTCTGCCCCAGAATGAGAGTATGGGAGCAGAAGTAGTGCAGGATCCTTCCCAGATCCCCAAAGAAACGCACATCAATAAAGTGTGAAATTAAGCGTTGGATTTATTAAGACACAATGGGAAGAGTTCTAGAAACAACAAATACATCCCAACTCCCTTCTGGTGCTGGGAACTTTCTTCAGCCTCAGACAGAACCAGTGGTTTTGCCGAAGTCACACTGCGCAGACCCTTTCCATAGCCAGCTCTATCTTCTCTTCATATGATGGAAATCTGTTTCTGACATTATACCCTCCGGCACACAGAGCACAGCTGTGCGTGGTGCACTCCAGCTGATTCCATTACTGCAGTTCCTCAGGGAGGAAGGGCTTCTCAATTCCTAAATGCAAGGCCCAACAGAGCAGACTTGTCTAGCCAAGGTCAACGGCTTCAAAGTCTTTGGTTAGGCTTCCACTACATTTCCCTCTCTTCACAGTCTCTCTGCATACCACACATCACTAGGAACACTGTTAGGCCACTGTCTTAAACTAAATTTTCTGTGGAATTTATTTTGAATGGGATTCTCAGTTGAGTGCATCATATCTCATGTATCTGAACATCGTTCCCTCTTGTGAGCATTTGCCTCTATTGGTCTGACAGGGATGCAATCTCCTCTGGTTGAGGAGAATGTATACTCATTGGCCCATGAGACAGTGGAAATAGTGAGAATCAAAATGGAAAATACTGAAAGCTTCCTTTTCCACAGTTCTCATGGGTAAGGTTTGTCCTCAGGCCTCCCAGTTCTCTGAATCTCTTCTCAGAATTTTGAAGAGTCTGGAATACTGGGAATATTATTCCCAGTAAGGGAGAAATCCAAATGGAAATGGTGTTCCAGTTGAACATACTAGTGTTCATGAGATGAGGTGGGATGCATCCAAGGGTATTTGTTCAGGTGATGCTATCGTGAGGCTGCTCTCTGTCATCTCTCAAGGTTCACGACAGTTGAAGAATGGCTGTCCTAGCTAGAAAAATCAAAGAAAACAAAAGACAGCAGTGACAGCCATCTTCAGAAGGCAGAAGAAAGAGGATACAGGGAACAACGTGTCAACTCTATTTCCTTTCTCCTTCCTACAGTGTTTCAGAGGAAATAACTTCAGATGCCATTGTTAAATATACCAAGGACAACACAATTATTATCAGTAGCCAAAATGATTGCACAGAGGGCAAATAATGCCTGAGCAACCTCATTGTGTCATCTACAAGACTGTGGAGACAGTGAAAAAAATTGAAGATAGTTAATTTTATGTGCTTAGATTTTGGTGAGACCATTTCCACTTCCTGTTGTGCAGTCCTCTCACAACCAAATGAGTGAGTTATTGCATGGGTTAATGCATAACAATGCTGGTGGAAAACTAGATTATATGCTGGGCTCTAAGTGTTGTGGCTGCTATACGGAGTACAGCTTGGGACAGGAATCGATAAAGGGGTCTCTCAGGGATCAGTGCTGAACCAGTAGTCTTTAATTTTACATTAATGCTCTACATGACTCGATGTAGTGCACTGTAAGTATGGATGTGGAGCACTTCTGACTGAGAAGAGTTGTCTGGATCTTGTGAAACAGGATGAGAGAAAAGAGGAGCCAATCAAGAAGCATACAGAGACAGACACCAAAGGAGTACATGGAAATGCTGGGAAGAAATAAATCTCACTATTCACACCAGCTGATCAGAAATCAAGAAACCATCGGCCACCTCAAGGAAGACGAACCTGGCATTTGCAGGAGATGCAGTTGTAAATCAGAACATGGATGGGGATTGGTGTGAGACAGACCTATACAACCACATGTTGGGATATACAGAGAAAGGGATGAACATATGAGGGGAGACAGATCGATGTGTCGAAGGGGCCCCTCATATCTGGTTGAGCTATGTGACTGACCATCACAGTCCTCTAAATGAATCCTTTTTTAACTCTGTACCATCTCACTCTGTCCTGTGCACACTGGATGGACAAATTACCACTTATTGGGGAGAGTGCCATGAGTGCTTTTCGTGCCAAATGGTGGAGTCAAAATGGCGTTGAGGATGTCCCTGGCCCGAGCCGTCCTCTTCTCCAACAGGAAGTGTCCCTGTGTCACTAGTTCAACAGAGGTCAAAAAGCAGAAGTCAAAGCCTGATGCTCCACACTCACAGCCGCCCGTCCGGCGCCGCTGCCGGCCTTTCTTCAGCTCCTCGAGCGGCGACATCAGCACCATGGGCAGCAGCAGCCTGCGGGACGCGGGGCTCGGGGAGCTCTCGGGGCGCCGCGTTCCCGGGCAGCAGCACACGACCCGTTCCCGCTGACGGGTTTACGGAACAGTGGCAGCTCCGGGCACAGCCGGGCGAACAGGGTTCAGAAGCGTTGCGCTCCACGAACCGTCTCGTCCCGTCTCTCTGTGCTCTTGGCTCGCTGGGGACGCTGGAGGCGGGCGACTGGTTTCCCCTGTCATCTGAGGAATGGCTGCGAAAGCCAAAGGATCTTCCGCAGCCGTTCCTCAGTTGCCCGCCTACGCCGCAGTGCCCGGGCTACGCTGCAGGACGCACAGAGCCCAAACCCCGCTACCCGCACACGGGCGCCCAGCACTCGCAGCCCGGAGCAAGCCCGAGTGACGCCGGCGCAGGGCGCAGCCCCTCCGGGGCGGAGCTGGCGGCGGCGGCGGGGAGGAGGCTCCGCGGGCGGAGCAGAGCCGGGGCTGGCGGGGGCAACGCGGCGGAGTGCGGCGCGGGCGGCGGAGCGGCGGGATGCGGCAGTGCCGGGCCGCGGGGCTGGCGGGGCTGGCCGCGGTGCTCCTGGGTGCGCGGGGCTGCCGCCGGCAGGGCCGGACTGCGGGGGCTGCGGGGGGCCGGGGCCGCGCTCGCCTCTGGACCATTGGCTTCTTTTCGAACTCGTGCACCTCTCTCTCCTCCTGCATGAAATTTCTGTTGGAGAAAATGGATTTTCTGAGTGTGCTTGTTCTCATCTACTCGTCAGTGGCTGTGAGCAGAGCTCAGGTGCAGCAGGAGCCGGCGGCAGAGACCAGCGAGGGCATCGGCATCAACATCACCTGCTCACACCCCAACGTACAGTCCAACGAGGTTATCTACTTGTACCGTCAGCTTCCGGGCCGAGGACCCACATTCCTCGTGAACGCTTTTAAAGGCTACAAAGAGGTGCCGGACCCGGAGGGGCGTCTGTGGGTATCGGCAGACCGCCGCTCCAGCGCC